AGACTTTCATCTTTAGGCTTTCCGCTGCCTTCTAAATGAAAGATTTAAGTCATCCTGAAAGCAGTTGGCAACTGGAAAATGAATGCTCAAAAATCAATCGGTAAACAAAAGTAAGTGCTTAAAAGCAGTCGACATGGTCTCGAAAAGTGAGCGCACTGGCAATGAAACTGATGCTCTATGAGCAGTTGGCAAAACTGCAAACAAAATGCTTCTAAGCTTCTATCGATGAAATACTTTGACAAGCAACCAAAAACTGTAGCAGAAATGTCTCGAGAGCGTCTGAGGATTCAAAAATTGGAGGAACTGCACAGCAATGACTAGAGAACGGTCGAAGAGAGCCACATCTGAGCACGGTTTCTGGCACCGTACAGAAGTGCGCCTGGAGGCTGTAAAAGGCGAACATGGTCGCTCCGGCTAAAGAGAGTCCATGGCTCCGTACAGAAGTGCGCCTGGAGGCCGTAAAAGGCGAACATGGTCGCTTCGGCTAAAGAGAGTCCATGGCTCCCGACAGAAGTGCGACTAGAGGCCGTAAACGGCAAACATGGGCGCTTCTTCGGCTAAAGGGGGCCCATGGGCTCGGGTTTTCTTAGAACGTCAGCATCCACGTGGGCATTGGGGACGATGCAGATAGGGTTGTGTTGGACCCATTGTTTTTGATAATTTTCCAACCTTCGCGTGAGCCGACGACGCTCCGTTGGTTGAGGAGTGCGCAGCCTTGGTGATGAACATCTTAAAAAAAGATTTTGTACTAAAAAAGGTCACCTGTTTTAGCACTTCATGCAAGGGCCTTTGACTTGATCAGTTCGACGAAGGAGTCGTGACCTTGAGGCATACCCCCGAAAGGGTTGACGAGTTACGTCAGGCCATTGCGTCTTGCAGAGGACAAGCTCTCCGCCGGTGACAGGATTGCCACCTATCCAATTCCGACCTGGACCCAAAATGTGTATTTGTATGAATGCTGCCCTACTCATTGTTGTGAGGTTGCAGGTAGTTTTCTCTTATATGGAATGTTCCAATGCTTTGACTCAAGGTCCCTAGAGGCTGAAAGGATTAGGAAGCTATTTTGCCTAGCCATTGGTTCTGGACAATCTGTAAACGCTGAGCTGAGCTACGAGTTACAAAATCCGAAGTGAAAAGGTGCGTTTGCGCAGTTGGTTTGCTGGTTGTGATTGATCCGCCCAGTTGACCTTTTACATTTTCTTATACTGGAGGAGTGGATCTCAGGAAACAATGCTGCGCGTGTCTCGCAAGTAACTCCCCTGCGGCCACACCGACTGCAATGCAGAAAGCACGCGGCGGAAAGAAGCGGAGAACGCGCGTCGCAAAAGCAGAAGGTATCGTATTTCCTACCTTGGAAGAAGGGGAGGAGATGAGCATTGAAACCAAACATTGAGACAAGCTCGAGCGCGCCGAAACTGGGGTTTTGAGCACCCCACCGAATGCATGCAAAGCAACACGCAGCAGAAAAGCAGCGGGAAAAAAGGTCGAGCGCGCGGAAACTGGGGTCTTGAGCACGTTTTACGATGCGAAAATGTGAACGACGAGACATGCAAAACGGAAACATGCAAAAACAGGGGAAAAGCTCGGAAGGGCCATTTTGGCAAATTTGACGAATGTTTCTGATAAACAGTTGCCAAAACTGTGGTTTCGCTCGCATGGACGCCCAAAAATCCGAAAGCAAAAATTCGACGCTTTTTGAAAACGAGCATTTTTGACCGCGCTAGGCCGATACTACCGAAATGCAAGTTTTAATTCAAGCCTAAAAGCTAGAAAAATCTGCGGTTTGTACCGCGGCCCGAAACGGACCACGGTCTTATGACTATCGGCAGCCGCTTTGCAAAAGTGAAGGTCGCATTGCATGAAGCTCAGAGCTGCGCATGCTGATAAATCATTGCTTCCGTGCCTCGAATATGCCCCTTGCTTAGTTCTGTGGGACTCAGAGCAACCCATCAGGACGCACCTGGGTGGTCTCATCCAGGTATATTGGATATTTATTGAGGGAATATATTCAGGGTCCATCGGGATGTATCAAGATATATTGGGGTTATATTGGGAGGCGCGTCGGGATTGAATGATTTGTGGTATACTAGGAATTGCAGCGTATGCTGCATTGGGGCAGTACCGACCAAGCGTAGGCGCTACCTGTGGTGCATATCGCAAAGAAAAGGATTTGCGAGCGACGGTAAAGTCGAGCGAGTATCCCGAATAAAGTCTTGTCTGTACAGTTGCCTACCAATTGTTCAGGACATGCATTTTTTCAGTTTCGGGCTTCACCACTCGCTCCCTAAGTCGCTCCCTAAATCGTGAGACCTCTTGTAAGGACCCATCCTCAGAAGAGAGAACAAGTGGCAACGGTTACAAGTAAGCAAAAACAGAAGTTAGAATTAAGCGCTCTGCCATCACATACCCTAACCGCGAGAACTTTACAGACCCAAAACCTGAATCATCAAACCCGGCGCAAGCCAGAACCCTAAACCCGCACCATGCAGCTGTAAACCCCAACCATCATCACCTTAAAATCTACTTTCCCTAAAGCCTGCTCCCTAGCAAACAGAAATCTTCAAATCTCCAACCCGCAACACCCAAAACCCCATATGACCAGTACTTTATTTGCGAGTCTTGTTGTCCTTGGAGAGAGAGTGCGTAAGATACCTTTCTCCATTTGAGTTTAGTTGTGGATACGAGCGTACTTGGTCCACAACCACTTTAAACAGCACTGCTCATATCCAACACAGAATAAAAATCATGCTTCAATCCTAAATAACCCTGAACCCAAACCCTTGAAACCTCCAAATCCTCCACATATAGGCCCCAAACTTTAACCCTGGAAAGGCCAAATGTGTTAAAGCCTCAAACTAAAAAATGCCAAAGCCCTAAACGCTCAACCCAAAGCCCAATTCAAAATCCTTACGCCCAAAAACTCTAGCCTTAACCCTGGACGACGAACTAACTTCGTTCAGCAGCCCCCAAATGGACAGGGCACCCCTAGGACATCCTAGCAGTCCTCCAGACGAGGAAGGGCAGCCATCTAGCAGAGGTAGGATGCACAAAAGCAGAACCAGCTGCGAATGACGTGCAGTAACCCTGCAACAACCAACAATCCCAAACCAGACGAGGAGAAAAAGCAAATCGACCATGCTAGTGTCCCCACCGCTGTTGCCAGCTGCAGGTGTGCACCAGATACGGCAGGATATTGTTCGCCTCAGCCAAACCTAGGAAGAATAGGACGTTGGGGTCTAGCAGGGCAAACATCAACCAACGGACTGTGCGACACTCCCAACACAAATGCATCCACGAAACAAACGAATGGCACCACAAGCATCTATCGGAGTGCTCATCCGTCCTGTCATGAAACCAAGCAGGACTAACTGTTGCACCCGTTCCGACTGTCCGACAACCAGGATTACGCATTCAAACGCAAACGACCGAAATGACACCGCAACAAGTCTGCGACATCACGGACTTCATGATGACCAAACCACAAAAAGCGAATTCAACAATACCGCCGGCTATACTGACGAAGGTTATGAAGCTTGACATCCTACGAACATCTCAAACTCAAGGTCAACCTGATACCGGTACACGTCCAAGACCAAGGCGCCTGTTCCGTCCGCCACGATTTTTCGACCAATTTCTCAACGTCCACAAAGGGCTACCAGGAGCAAGATTCCAAGCACATCGACCAGCACGCCTCAAGGCAAGCACAAGTCGAAACAAGGTGCAGGCACTCTTGATATCCAAATGGGTATCACCACCAAGCACACAAGCACGCAACCAGCCGTTGGACATTCTAACAACATTCTGAGCCTTCTTAATCGCAGTCCACAACTTGCCAGAAACTTTCCACACAAGACCTGGCACTCATACCAAGACCGACGACCTCAGTGCTCAACCTCAGCATGCCAAGCAATAAAATTCTTTCAAGGGCAAGATTAACACGCTCCAGCTCTTTTTCTTGATCAGAGCGAGGCTTGCCACGAGGAACCACACCCAGAACCCGCACATCACGATGCAAGCTGTCTTGACCAACATGTTCAAGAAGAGCTCTTTGCCGGGCAGCCTTAGTGCCAGCAAGCTGGGCTTTGTCACCCGACTCAATCAAACCCCTTAACCTTACACGCGTCAACCCTTACACCACAAGCGCTGAACCTAAACCCTAACTTACCCAAAACCCTAAACTCCAATCCAAAAAGCCTTGGTGAATATCAAACATCTTTACTGCGGTAATCCTAACCCTCAGGAATGACTGAAGATCAGCAGGTTACAGAGGTAACGTACTCGAAGACAATGGTTGCAAGTAGTGTTGATTCGGTGGTCACAAGCGTCGTTCCTGTGCGGACACCGCCTCTTTGTCTTGCTACGGTGACAAGGTTGGGCACCAGCGGTCCAGGGCTGCGACTCCCGCCGAGGCTTCTGCTCTGAAGGTTCTAAGTTCCCTCGCTGACACGGGTTGGCTTCTGGGACACTGTGGAGCTTCCCAATCGCAAACTGGGTTCCAAAAGGCTCGGCAGGCCGAACTGCCTGTTGTTCAGGTCCTTGCACTTCATTGAGGAGCTAGTCAACTTGTTTCTTGCAGTTTGCAGAGGTATGGGTATCCAGCACTTTTCCGTTTGCACAAAGCCTCAAGTCGTGCAGTGGACTGTATGAAGTCGAAATTATTCACTGCCTTTGATATCTCTCGTTTCCTTGCTTCCGTCTTCCACAGTGTTTATGGGGCCAGCTGATCCGACGCATAAGGTTTACAGGTCTTTTTTTGAGTTGTGGAGTTACCGTGTCTGAGATGCTCTGGGCATATACAAGGACAGACTTTCATCCAGCCACGCAATGTGTACGTAAATTCCAAAGCATGAATACATAGAAATACAGATACGCACACACACGAAAAGCTGTGCATTCTGAATCTAAACAAAGACCAGCCCAGCTCTAGCGCATACACTATCCATGGGAAGCATATCTAACAACTCGACTTCATTCTGAACATCATCCCCTAGCTAGTCCTTCAGGACCGGATGCTTTGGATCTTCGGCCGCTTTCTACGCCGGATCTCCAGGTACTGTGCTTTCGGTGTACTGAAATAGTGTCAAGGTTTCAAGAAGATCATGGCCACAAGAGGCAGAACAAGAGGTAGAGTTGTTGAAGCCATAACTGGTTACCTGGTTTTTGTTTTTGCTTGAGGATGGTTGGTGTAAGGTGTGCAGCAATGTCAAAGGAGCATCCCTTCTAACCAAAACTCAGGAAGTCTAGGTACGACGTGGTTAGGAGGGTTTGGGACTTGCCTAGATGCAGGTTTAGGAGCTAGTCGTTGTTGTGCCCGCTCCTCAATGCAAGCAGCAACATGAATCACCTCTGTGTGGGCTGCTATGCCAAGTAGAGTCTCCATCCATGAATGAAATGCAAATCTTACATTACTCAGACAAGTGCCATATCCCGAGTTGGCGCTGGCAAGTTGACAGAGACCAGTCGTCCTTCTGTTGGCTCACCGCAAAGAGGCTTCAGAGTGCACTTGCCTGGCTAAGTGTTATTGTTTGCAATTACCAACGGCCACAGCAAAGGAGCTCTAAACGCAGGAAGCTGCCTTTCAAAAGCTGATACAGCTCAATTTTGGCTTGCCCTTTCCCTGTTTATGCTGGCATCTGTAAGGAAAGCAGCATCATCCTCGGGCTAGAGACTGTTCGGCCATAAGCGGAAACGCTAGCCGCTAGCCTCTACCTCCCTGAGCTTGAATCCCAAACCTTCTCAGTGGCTCAGCGAGCAAGACCGCTGTTCAGACTGGCGTTGTCTTGACAGGTGGGGCGGAAAAAGCCTGTGCTGGGAGAGCCCATACCGGAATCCGTGCGTGGAAATGCGCCAGGCTGAGGCTTATGCATTGTGGAATTGAAAGAGGGTTCCGGGTCCCAAATGCCAAGGTTCATATGACTCATTCCTGCGCCACCGCCCTTACTAGGCGACCTTCCATCTAAGTCACACCTGTGCGGACATGCAGCCACAGAGCAGCTGATTCTGCTTTGAATGCCAAGGTTGCCTACGAGAGGCGTGCCAGGCGGAACAATGAGGCGCAAGAAGATCTGACGGATCAAAGCTCTGCACGAGCTAACAGTAATTGCTTGCCAATCGCCTGGCATGCGCCAGACGGACGAGCAAAGCCCGAGAATGTTTCGGATCTACTACAGATCGGGTAGACAATGCTTCGGAGCTTAACCTTGATATTGCGTGTGCCTCAGCTTGCAAGAGGCCATGACCTTCCACTTCAAAAGCTTCAGCGCAAAGCCAACGCCAAACAACTCAAAAGTGACCTCTGTGCCCTGCACCTTGCACTTTGGAGTGGCAACCTTTGTGTGCAGGCCATCCGGAAACGTCGCACAGAGGCCCATCTGAATTTGCAATACTTTGACATGGCGGCAGTGCTTTGTGCCATGCTCGCAAAGCACAATCTGCGGTTTGATGGGCCTGCATCCAAACTCCTTCGCGTAGAAAACAGCAGACTTTAAATCACGGCTGCGGCCATTGCATGTCAAGTGTCGAGAAATCTAAGCCGTTTTACAACAACCACATCTTTTTTGACGTGGAGGTACACTTCCTTAGCCTCCCTCAGCTGGGTGCAGGCTTTGACGGAGCAGCGCCGCTTCGAGAACGGGGTCTTCCAAGGCATCTGGCGAGCTTGGGGCCTCAGACGCAAGTCAAGCAGTGGGCGGGGATGCACTTCCGTACGTTTTGGGGTCTGTAATCTGATTGGAGCTGGATATGAATTTTGTTCTCTGCTTTCTCCTGGGGACTTTGATGCATAGGAGCAATCTTACAACGAGAATTTACTGTTCATCCTCCTTGTATGTTTGTAACGGTTGATCTTCTCAGCTACAGGATGGCCATGTGCAAGTCACTGACCATTCGAGGCATCTAGGCGGCCTCAATGTTGTGGCAACACATTTGCATTCATAAATTCTCGCTGTGGGCCAGATGATGCCGAATCCTGCGAATCGACCTACCCAGCCCCAGTCCCTTGCAAAGCCCTTGGTCTTATAGAGGATGTCCATCTTCGGTATGTGCTTCGGATGGATCCCCAGTTCTTTCGATGAGTGTACCTTTTCGGTGGGTGTTCGCTAAGGGGTCCCCCCCATTTTGAGATGCGCTATAGAGCCCGAATAAATGTTAAAGTTCTTCCTTTCTTGCTCCGTCACGGAGCAAATATTTTTGGCAACATTAGGGGCCCATACCAGGGGCCCAGGGCTGTAACCCCTGACCGTGCAGAATTAGGTTACGATCCAGCCCGATACCTTGAATGACATGTACGTATGTCAACCTCAAAACTCCCAAAGCGGCATGGCCAGCTGTAATGAGGATCCTCTGCTTGATGGCCCCAGCCATGCCTGCGAGTGTGGCCCACAGCGTGAGGAGCAGGCTTATCGCCAAATTGCTCAGGGTTGTTCTTGAGGCCGAAACAAAGTGTGAATGGCAAGACAAGAGAGCTATCTAACGACAGAATTTAAAGGTGATCTTCACGCAGCAAGTGACGATGGCGAGAAGAACTGACGAGTATCGGAGCCATTGCGCTCGGGTCTGTGCTTGTTCTTGTATTCGCGCAAGATCTGATCGGCTTCCGTTTGTCAAGTTGAGAGGATCAACAAGAGTGCAAATAGTCCCCATTCCCAGCCGAGACTGAAAAGCTGATTGCTAGTACGATAGTTGGGAGTCCTGACAATCTGAATTCAAAGACATTGGCTGTTAGTGAGCTCAGCATGCAGGCTTCCATGCAGGAGGTAAGCAGGGAACTGATGCAGTGCGGGCTTTGATTGTAGCCTTGGCATTGTACCTTCTGCCAGGGAAAGCCATAAACCCAACGTGAACAGCATGCAGCACGGTGCGTGATGCTGCAGCTTCTCTGTTCCACTCTCGACAGAAGTCGGAGCTTCCCTGAGGCAATCTTTGGGTTTCATCAGGCAGTAGCGGCAGCAGACTCGTATCTAAACGAGAGGAAAGAGGGACCAGTTTTCCGTACAAGCCCGGGGCATTGATTTGTAGTAATCTTCCCTCCGCTCGAAATCGTGCTTGGAGAGCGCGTCGTGAGGGAGTGGTAGAGCCATGGCGCAGACGTTGTGCCTCGGCGTGACACAGGGCTCCAGAGCTGACTACCTTTTTCCCCTCTGCAAGTCTACAGTGCCTTCAAAGTGCCCACAGACAACTGCACGCGGAGCCGCTTTAAGATCACATGGCTCTTCAAGGATTGCAAGGATTGCTGTGATGTTTCTCACCTTCATGACCAGGCTACTCCCAAGCCCGAGTGCATTTTCTTGAGTCACGCATCAAAGGAGCCATGGTGATTTTAGCCTGTTGGAAGGCTCCTTGGCATGAGTTGCATTCTACAAAGTAGCCGTGCAAGGTATGAATGGGACCCCTTGAGGCTCCCTTGCCAAGACAGGGTGAAGCTGCCACCAGGAAACAGCTTGGCAATTTCGTGAAAAAGAGGGAGAACCGTGGTTTTTAAATTGTCTACATCCTGATGCATCCAGCCCTCAAGAATTACGAAGAAGCTTAGCGTGTGAAAGTCCTTTTCAGCAGCACTTGGAGTTAATGAATGGTCTAGTGCTGTTGCTTGGGTCTTGCGGGAGTGGAGCCAAGTTTCAAGCCTTGCCCTAGTACTCTCCCAAATCTGGACCATGTCTGAGGCATGAGGCAGGAGAGTATGCTGCCTCGAAAGTCGGGACCTCATGTATGGCAGTCTCCAAGACTTGGGTTTGCTAGCTGCGAATTCATCGCTGATTTCAAGATCAGTGGACAGACCCTAAGACATCCCATGCTCAGTTCGAATCAGGTTTACAGTGCAGGAAATGGATGACAAGCTCCGAAATGCCAAGTGCTCCGGGGCTGTCATCATAGTGAGAGCAGGGTTTCCCAGTGGTGTAGTTGCTTGCGTGAAGCAAGATAGTGTAGCAGCTGCTGTTTGTAGGTATGACATTCACGAAGCTTTTCAAAGTTACAGCAATTTTCATGAATAGCAGAAAAGTCTGCTCGCAGGATGCGTGAAAGGTTTGGTCTTTCCTGGGAAGTCTAATCGGTGTTAGTAGCACGTTTCGACGTTACTGACACTTACAGTCCCATTGCCCGGCGGTTGCCCAGCAGTTGCCCAGCTTGCCGAGCCTCGGAGGTACGCTGTGCGTGGAGCTGTGCCGCAGCGAGCGGCCGAACTGGCAGCGAAGCTCAAGGCGTTTTGGACTTCGTGCATGAAGAGCAGTGGTGGGAATGAATGCAAGAGTTGTGGGTCAAGGTTGCGCTGGAGGTAGTGGTAGGGTGATAGAGTTAACGGCTGCAAACAAGTCTGCTCATGTTACCATGATGGATGGGTGGTTGGCCATTGGATTGGACTTGGTTGCTTGGGCTCAGGAGTGTGTGGTTGGGGTACGACGTCATCTAGTGGATTTGGCTGAGAGCTTTAGACACGGACGTGTGTCAACCTAACGGTGCAGAATGGACTGCATTGAAATCATTTTGTACGGTTCAGGGTTGCAGGAGTTTGCTTCCTCGATTTGTAGCCCCGGTTATTGAAAGGTTTTTGCTATGTGACGTTTATGTGATCTAGACTCTGACTTGAGCATCTGTGAGTCCGTCAGATGGTTCAGAAACTTGTCCACTTATTGCTACCACTTAGGCTGTCTGTTTGTTCCCCCATGTAATGGGTGGGCGGATAAGCAGAGAAATCCTTCATTAGGACTCTCGTAGAACTGTACTGGGAAACCGGTGCTTTGAGGTTCAGCAACGCCATACAAGGAAAGACATGCAAACCCTTTCAACCTCCTATGAGACAGGGTGGCATTATGAGCTTCGGTAACAGCATTCTGGGAAAGTCAATAATGGAAATAAGAGAAAAAGGATGGCAGCCCGCTTTTCATCATTTTTTTCCTTTTCCGCACCGCGCCGGCCTGCTTCGGATTCGAATTGACACAAGAGGCCGGCGAGAAGATGCCTTTCGAGCGACTGGTGGCTTGGCATTCAAGATTTTTGGGCGGGCATTCTGTCACACTTTAGCTTCGGGTGCCGGAGCCTTTAGACGGAAGATGCTTTGGGGTTCGCAGAATGAAGAGCCTTAGGGAGCCCTAATGTTTCGTGATGTAGAAAGGGATTCCGGAAGTAGCAGCTTGTCTGCAAGAGCCTGACTAAACTGGGTGCGACCCTTCCACAAGCCTCCAGCTTCCCGCCTTGCTGCTGATTCCATTGCAGGTGTTCTGCAACATTGGGAACCCGCATGCAGTCCAGCAGAAGCCAATCACCTTTTACCGGCAGGCCGTACATGAGATGACAGCTTTGTGTATCGCGGTGTTTGGGGGGTTTGTCGCCAAATTCTTGAGTTAGATTGGGATCTTGGCGTTTGCGCTGAGGGTCTGAGATGCATGTGTGCGGAGGGCGGAGGTTCCTTGCCCTAGGTCGGGTTCATGAATTCTTAGATTTCTTCATCAGAACCTCCAAGCTGAACACAAACAACGAATTAGATCCGAAGCTCTCCACGGCTCAAACTAGATCCGTCTGAACGGGTTCTCCAGGCGGATGCACGATGATGCGCGTGTACGGGCTCTGAAAGCTTCATCATTCCGATCATCCAGCTTTTAGGATTTTGCTAATGCTTCAGATATTGGATTTCCTATAGTGCAAACTTCTGCATCAACGTTGAGAGGAAGCCGAGGCCTAGAGTGCCTAACTTCAATGAAGCGTAGGAAGCTGATTCATGACTCTGTGAACTGAAGTGCAGCGTGTACCACGGCTCCTTGTCCGTGCGAAGGTGGCAGCTGCTGTGACGGACCCCTCGTTGCTGCAGGGGGGCCTCTATCCTGAGGACGTCGCCGGGCTCTTGAAAGATAACCTGCCAGACCACAGATGATCTGCACAGTCTTAACACAACGGAGCTGGCAGCATCCCCACCTCCTTCAGGCCAGAAACAAACTAGCAAGAATAACTACATCTGTGAAAACCATCTAGCTTGAAGTTGGCTTGGCTTTTTTTTTTTTTTTTTTTT